ACAGCCAAGAAAGACTGAGACTTCAAAGGTCAGCAAAGAAGGTTACTAGAAAAGATAATAAAGTGTAAGGATATGTCACTGGAAACAAAGACCAACATCATCCGCACTCTTCTATGTATTTCCAGTTACCTTGTATGAGTGTGAAAGTTGGGGAGTAAAGAAAGCTGTCAGGAAAAAAATTGATTTGTCTGAAACGTGGTGCTCGAGGAGAGTTTTGCGGACACCCTGGACTGCTAGAAAGACGAACAAGTGGGTGCTAGATCAGATCAAGCCTGAACTATCTCTGAAAGTAACCATATTGAAACTGAGGCTGTTCTGTTTTGGACACATAATAAGACAAGATTCACTGGAAAAAACAATGTTGGAAAAGGTTGAAGGCAACTGGAAAAGAGGAAGGTCAAATACAAGGTGGATTTACTCCCTAAAGGAAGCCCCACACTTGAGTTTACAAGAGCTGAGCAGGGCTGTGGAGGACAAGACATTTTGGAGATCGCTCATTCATAGGGTTGCTATAAGTCAGGAGTGCCTTGACAGTATGTAACAGCAATAGTTGCAGGACTATCTTACAACTGAGAAATGAAGCTAAATTAGCAAGGTAGGTGGAGGAGTGCAAACGTATCTGGACTTCACCCATTAAATACTGGCTCCCTTCTGAAGAACACACAGACCAAAGACAATTTGTCTGAAATATAATTTCCTTTCCCTATTCATAACTGACCATATTTGGTGAGGTCTTTTTAAGTCCTTGTAATTTAATTGCAGTGACAGGAAGGCATTTGCACAACTGATGATGAGCTGCCCATGTGCAGAACCAGATACGATTGTCAACATGAGAGGGTGAGAATCGGGAGAAAGCACAATACCCAGAACAGTTGTTTACCATTCTTGTACAACATTATGCGATAATCCTCCCAGTTAGGCTAGCATTCATCATTCAGCAAATATCAGCCAAGAATTTCTCATTGTATATACAGCTGAAGAATTGATTTTATGGGAGCACAAGGTGCCTTCTAGTTAAAGAATTCTAGGCCTACTATGGCATTTACCTTCCCATGATTACCATGGCATTTGAGGAAGAACTGAGCTCTCCTCACTACCCTCCCACGTTGTAGGGATCTGTGCTGTGTACATTGCTGTCTCCACACTGGTATAGGAAAGTATAAACATGTTACTATTTTCCTCCAATATCATTATGGGAAAGGCTGCTCTTTTTATCAGTTTCTCCAACTGATTTCCATATCTAAAAAAAGGGGGGGGACAGTGATACAGTGCACCACATGCAGTTATAATTGTACCTCAGCCCCTGAAATTCTTTAGAGTCATTTTAAAAGAATGTTTGGCTTTTCCTGAACACTTGTGAATGGCTAATCATCTACAGTAAAAAGAGGAAGATGCTATGGAATTGTTTCATAAATACAACCACCTGATTGTTTGATTGTTAATTGTTCATCTCTGCAAAGCTGCCCAGATCTAGTAAACATTTTTAAGGCCAATGTTGTTCAGGAATAACAAAACCAAATAATCAACTCAAAGCAACACTGAGGCCACTGCTCAGAGAAGAAATGGCAAGAGATGCCATTCCAGGGATCAGGTTGTTAACATAAACATTAAATAGAAAAGAAACTAGAATGCAGCCTTGTTTCAACCCAGTTGATGCAAATTTGTTGTGATAGAACACTTTGTAAGCCAGTTCTCACCTGCAACATATTATTTTGATGTAGTTGCTGTATAAGACAAAGAGCCTTTTGTCAATATTTGTTCTGGCCAATTTGTGCCATTAAACATTCTCAATCTATCAGATCAAAAGTGGATGAAATGTTTATGAAGACTTCAATGATGAACTCTTGGTGTAGACTCTTGGTATAGGATGAAGGCCTGACTTAACATGCTTCTGCCCTTTCTAAAGTCTGCTTGTTCCTTAAAAATGATAGATTGTTTACTATCCCATCCAAGGAATTTATTCACAAAATTTGGAAGCCACATCAAGAAGGCTAATAGGCAATGGTGCGGCTGGCAACGGTGCGGCTAAAAATATTGTAAATAAAGTAAATAAAATAAAATAATAGGTGTACAGTTACGGGGTTCTGATAGATTGCCTTTTATGAAGAATAGCACATTGATACTGTTTTGCCAACCTGGAGGGATATTACCTATGCAATTAATGTAGCTAAATGATTTGGCTAAAATTGGGGACCATCAGTAGAAGTCAATGGCAAACACCTGAGAGGGAATCATATCTTCTCTGGAAACCTTGCCATTATGAAAAGTTGAGATCAGGACCCCCATTTCTGCAGGAGAGGCAGGAGGCCATTTAAGGAGATTAGATCGAATCTCATTTGTATTCTGTGAATGTATGCCATTTCTGAAAATGCAGCTAAAATGAGATATATATATTTCCACGGTAATTGGGTTAGCAATCTCAAAAGCTTTCTAGGAGAAACCTCTCTATCCACTTCCCGAATTTTGGTCCATTTCCCTCAATAAGGGCATGGCCCAAAGATTTTCAGTTATTATCAAAGAAGGCTTTCTTTTTCTCTCTGAGAAAGACTCTTTATTCTCTTCAATTGTGTTGTTTAAAAAAACATACCTGTACTGATGTGGCTTCATCAGTACAGGTATGTTTCACCTGTCTTGCCAGTTTAATCAGCTCCTTTTTCCAAGACTTTCAGTCCCTATCAAACCAGGCACCAGAGATTTGTTGTACAGCAGTACAGAGATTGACACAGGAAAATAGCTACATGTTCCCCAGATAGTCCACCCTTTTCTCATTAACTGAAACTGGTCTCAGTAACTCATTCTGAGACATTTGTAGGAGAAAGAATTAAAAATATTTCATTACTTATAGTTGTGAACAAATCAACAGCAAAGAAGTTTCTCTCTCACTTTCTCTGGCTCACTAGGCCACTTTGCAGTGTCAACTGAATAAAAGTTTTACAATCCAATCTCTTATTTTAATGAAACAATTTTTTAAAAGTTGTTTTTATTTTAAAAATTTAAAAGATACACTGTTAAGACAAGGAGTGGATCTCTGTACAAATACTTTTCCTCCCTGAAACCGGAACTAGAGCAATTGAATTGTTTCATCCTTCTTGACAAATATTTGGCTTACAAGCAAATTTACTGTCTCAAACATATGAACAAACCTGTAAAGTGTTTTGTGTGTTTAATAGATGCCACCCAAGAGTACTTAATGACTAAAAAATTGGGCCTGGATTTCACCAAAGGGAATAATGAAAAGGATATTGTAGGTGTTTGATGGAGCTTGAAAGGATCACTTCTCACTGATCTTAAACATCCTGAAATAGAAGTTGTTTAAGAGGGTGAGAGTAAATATAGATCTGATCTTCTTTCTCTTTGAGGTCTATTTTTTACACACGGCAGTTTTGCAAAGCTGTATCTCAGCTGAATTTACATGGTGGTCCATATGATTTCATGTTTCTCATTCATCCATAAAAATGAGTATAACATGCAAACTAGCCCATCCTTCCCTCAGCCCTGTCAACAGGGGCAAATTGCAGATCAAGCTGTGAGAGGATGCCTCCCCCCTGCACCTTTGCTCCAGTCTGGGCTGCTTTCATTTGCTTGAATTTGCTCTACATAATAACAATTTTTATCTGCATAAAGGAGTCATATGATCCCCCTCTCCCTAATCTTCAGTCCTAAGTGGCAGAGCCCAACACAAGTTTGGCATCTCAGTGAGAAGCTTGGTTACCACTTTTTAGGATTCTGGGTTGAGTTGCAGGGAATTGTTAAAGCTTGCTTAAGTATCCATGCAGGGAAACTACCCTCAGAGTGAATGGCACTGGAAAAGGAGACTTTATTTCTCTCTGTGAAATGGATAAAACATCTGGGTGCCATTTCCTGGCTCACTGACTAGTGCTTGGATGTGTGCTGCACATGTCACTCAAATGGAATTGGGACTGGGGAGAGAACTGGTGCATTCCAGCAGGGCGGGCCATAGGGCTCAGAGCTGAAGGAGGCTCAAGCATTGCTGAATGGGATGCCAAACTAAGCTCAGTGGCTCTGTGGGTGGGTAAACCCCTCTCTCCCCACATCTTAATGTACTATCTGTAGTGGGCTACCAAAAGGTAAAAAATGCTACAAAACAAAAACATATCAAGAGCAAAGCTTGTGTTAGTTCTACTGTGTTGCCTAGAATATGGTATGAATATTTGATCTTTTGGCTTGTGTAGAGGCGTTGACCAACAACATTCTTGACAGTCATCTTTGAAAGCCTTACGCACACAAACAAAAGAGAGAATTCCCTAGGATCTTCCAACTGAAGAAGGAGTGCACAAAATGAAGAGCAGTGGATAAGGGACAGTTCACTTTGGACCTTCTTCACAGGCATTGGTGGGGGAAAGACTGGAGGTAGTAGTGCTTGCTTCACTTCTATATTTTACAATTCTGCCTGAGATTGTTCTAAAAGAAATGGGTGCACGCCAACATTTGATTGTCCCCAATGTGTAATCTACACTCTTGAAAGGAGTCAGAGTGGTTTATCTCCTTATCTATTCAATCTCTTTTCAAAATATGTTACAGACATCTGGATTACATTCAGATAAAGTCATGAAAAATGGTGACAATTAGCAAGTTGCTACCAGGTCAAGGTGGATTGCACTCAAGAACGGTCAAGTTATTTTGGCACCTGAAGTGGCAAACATCGCAAGCACCTCTCTCCTGGGAATAAAAACAATAAATGCAAGAAGAAAAATGGGGGGTGGGTCAGAATGCTGTTCTGTCATGACATCCAACTAATGGTGTGCCTGGCCCAGTGCACTAAACAAACCTGTTTCTGTGTTTCCATTCTGTGGCTCAGTATGATTTAGATGTCTGTTTGCAAAAGGTTTAAGAGATCAAGAACAAAATCAACAAGGGTGTCAGAGAGGATCCCACCCTCTTGGGCTGAAGGAAAGCTCATATAAAAATTGAACCCACTCTATTGGTCTCCTTATGCAAAGGGAGAAGTTCTCTGTTCACAGACATTAACTATCAATATTGTCCTTGCTGGTTGCTACTAACGAGACCACATAAGGAGAGGAACAAGAAAAAGATCTACAGAACAGGTATTTCTTCATCTGTACTCCATTTAAAAAACTTCCAGATAGCCTTATAATAATTTCTATTTATATCAGAACCACAGTGAATCTTCTACATAATACAGAAGCTTTAGATTTAGGCATTTGAATGAAGGTTAATTTGAGATATCTGCCTGTCACTACATACACAATGGCAGTCTGTGGAGACCTTCTCCTACATGCGGAGCCTCTCTATGTGGTTTGGAATCCTGATTTTCCAAGATCTCATGTTACGCAGACAGTCCCCGTGTATAGCAGAAGCTTGTCTCTTCAGACAGACCCTCTTGCAGGGTGGTCCTTGTTCATGATCTCAGTTAACATCCTTTTGAACACCTGAGTAGGGCTTCAGAGTTCCATGCATCAATATTAAACTATTTAAGCTCTGCAAATAAATTCCTTAATTGTAGAGTTATGTAATTCAAAAAGAAGAAGAAAGGAAGGAAGGAAGAAGAAGAAAGGAGAGAGATGGGTCTCCTTTCATAGTTTTATCTACCCCAGCATGGCAGTGTGACAAATGCTTACACAAAATATTAAGGCAACAGTCATCTCTCGTTTTATCCCCCCAGTGTCTAGCATTCTAAGCTTTGTTCCTTCTGACTATGAAGGCTCCACTTGGCTCCTGTGGCCGATAGCTGATCTGTCCCTCAAGAATTTGTTTAGCCCATGAGCCCTCATCTCATACTAGCCAATTCCATAAGTGAATTGTGCATCGTTATGAAGTGTCTTCTTTCTGCTTTTTCCCTTTTTGTTATTTCTATTCTTAAGTTACTGTCAATGTGTTTTACTGGGTGACCTCAATTTCTAGCATTATGCTAAGGAAACAGATCTTCACCCACTTAGTTCCAGGTCCCTCGTGGCACAGTGGTTAAACCGCTGTACTGTAGCCAAAACTTTGCTCACAACCTGAGTCCAATCACAGGTAATTGGCTAAAGGTTCACTCAGCCTTTCATCCTTCTGAGGTTGGTAAAGCGAGTACCCAACTTGCTGGAGGCGGGGGTGGGAATGTGTAGCCTGTATAATTAAATTGTAATTCACCCAGAGAGTATTTTAAGTACTATGAAGCAGTATATAAGAAGCACTCTTTTACTTCCCAATAGGTATCATTTTAAACTTCTGTTATCATGTCTCCATTTATCCATGTCTGTCACTATACAATTTCATTCTCAACTTCAGCAATGGGAAGAACCAGTGTTCCCAGATACAGTAACAGAACTGGGGGTTCAAGTAGCAAGGTAGCATCTCCTCAGGGCTGGGGAAGCAGTACCCCATCAGAGCTGATGCTACTGTACTACACGGCCAATATATTGACTCAAAATTTGGTAGTACGGCAGGCTCAAATACTGTCTTCATAGGCAGATGTGCCACTGTGAATAGCTGGAGGATCAATGTTCCATATTAGACTTCTTATCATGAAGTTTGAAGAGATCACCACATTGCATATATATGTAATTATTACAAGAGTACTTGTGATTAATGGTTCAAAATCTTGAACGTTTGTATAATAACACAATTGTATAACAGCTGTGGATGTCCAAGGAATTAGCTGACCGAATTACTTTGAAAACCTCAAATGCTAATTGTTTAATGCTAAACGTTAATTACTTGTTAAAATGAAATACAAACTGCATTTTAAAACATGAAGCTAATTGTTCACTGGTGATCTCCACGTTTTAGGTTGACGTTCTGCTACAACCAGGCAATGAAGCCACATACAGTTCTCTTGCTGTACCTGGGAACACTGGTTCTCCCCATTTCTGAAGGTATGAAATGCATAGTGACAAAGATGTGGAGACTTCTCACCCAGAATTTCCCCTGCACTGGCAAGATTTCTAGCCTTCCTGTGAAAAAGAGACTATTTTTTTTGTCTTTATTTTTTCATTGTACTAAATTCTATGCCCCTGAATACCCTTTCCAGGAAATCTTGCAAGGGCAATATGCCATTTTGCATAGGCATTGTAATATTTCTGTGCAGACTTGGGGTTTTTTTTTGGGGGGGGGAGAAATTACCATGAAACATCCTGTGAATTTTTCTGTGAGATTTTGCATGGGTGGGAGGAGAAACTCACAAAGAGAAATCTTGCTATGGAGAGAAAAGAAGTATTTCTTCCTCTTCATTTCTCATTCAGAAGAAGGACCTTCCCGATGAGGGAAGTTGGAGTGGTCTGGTTCACACTCAAAAGGTTGTTCCTGCATTCTTTTTACACTTCCAACATTTCTCATTCATTTCTCATTCAGAAGAAGGACCTGCCCGATGAGGGAAGCTGGAGTGGTCTGGTTCACACTCAAAAGGTTCTTATCTTCAGTCTGATCTGATCACACTGATTCATAATGAGAATCCTTCCATTCACATTGAAGATGTTAATTCTCCCACCAGATGGGTCCAGACACGTCTTTGGACCACTGGTTTACTCATGAGAGAGTTCCCCAGGTTTACTTGCAAGTAAGAAGGCAGCAGCAACGAGTGGTGGGGTTTACTTGCAAGTAAGAAGGCAGCAGCAAGTGGTGGAGAATGGTGGCAGCAGTACTGGTGTGACAGGAAAACATTGGGATAGAGGAAATGGAAGGGAGGCAACACACACACACACTTTTTTCATGCCTTTCTCTTCCATTGGGGCTGTGCTGAGACACTGTTTCCTTGTGAGGGCAGAGCCCATGGAGTCAGTTGGCAAGTCTCTCTCTCTCTGTGAGGTGGCAATGAGAAAATACTGGCGGCTCCTCTGGCAGACTCTAAAAACTCTAAAAGTCTGAATAGGTGACCCAAAGATAGCACTTTATTCTTCAGGACTGTTTGTGTGGTCAAGGAAAGCCAGTCTACAATCCAGCTGAATTTCCCAGTGATTGATTTTATTTATTTTTCACACATTTCCCCCAACAAGCAACCATTAAGCCAAAAATAATTGGGGGGAGAGAGAGGGAGTTTGTTATCTATCAATGAATTGAGGAGTGGGGGCCTAATACCCCCCTCCACACTTTTTCCTGCAGCTATCTTTCAGCAGGTCATGGTGAACTTCCTTTTTAAAAAATTTTGGTTAAAGTAAGTGAAACATCATTACATCTACTTAGCATGGTGCTCATAATACCACCAATTTCAGCAGGTCATGGTGAACTTCCTTTTTTTTTAAATTTTTTGGTTAAATAAAGTAAGTGAAACATCATTACATCTGCTTAGTATGGTACTCATAATACCACCAATGTGTATCTTGTTTAATTAGAATAGTGCTGTATCACAGAGAATTTTAAAAATCAAAGCAATAAAGAAATTGAAAATAAAAGAGGGTGGTTTCCCATTATTCATCAAAATGTCACAACCTACCTAATACATCACAGCGTTGTTATCTCAGATAACACAACCCACAGCTCCCTTTGGGTGCAAACTAACCATCTGCACTGGCTACCCAACAAAATAAACAGGAGCACTCTGAATTATGTCAAAAACCCAGAAGCCCTAGTGTTGTGCCAGAGAGGAGTGGGGCAGCTCTAAAAGGGTGCGGGAGAGAGAGCTCAAAACATGTATGGACACTGTAATTCAACTCAAACCAAACCGCACCAAAAGCGATCCAAATAGTGAGCTCTATAACCATCTGGATAGGCCCTAAGAGCATTGAAGACACACATCCCTACGTTTTAACCTCATCTGTCTCCCAATACCACTTTGTTTTCTAGCTGTTTTCCCACACCATTTTGTGGGGCATTACTCCAAGGAAAATCTGCACCAATAAATCTGAAGAAAGAAAAAAAAAGTAGCTGCGTCTTATACACTCCTTCATTTGGCTTTCCCAGTTGACATGCAGATCTATAACAGGATGAAACAAAATCTACCTGGGATCTCAGTCTGAAAAGACTGGATGGAAAGGGGAGCATGTGCATGGTGTTAATATAATATTGGATTGAGAATAGTCATGTGCGATTGGGCTAGCAGAAACAGACTTCTCTGTCCTGCTTCTCACTCTGATAGCCTCTGCAGCCCCACTACAACGTGAGGCAGAAGACTGACAAACTCTGCTGAGTGGAGCTTCTTTGCCTCGCCTGATCCAGGTGTTGCGTCTGAGTGGACACCTGCTGGAGGAAGCAGCGCTCAGAAGCACCAAACACCTGTTTGGCCACTGAACAAACCCAGCACAGACAGCCAAATCAGCAGTCTGTACCCATCTCTACTCCAACAGTCTCTGTAGTCTGGCTGCAGGGATTTCTGTGGGGAGCAGTGGGAGAAAAGATGTGCCTAAATCTCAATACAACAGGTGCCCCCAATATGTGGCATTTAAATGTATAAATATACAAAACTTATAAGCTGTGCCCCTACCCCTGTTTTCTTTGGCAACACAGAATGCAACAAGGGAAGCTTTGATCTTTTCCTCCCTAGTCATGGTAATAATGAAAAATATTATCACCCACCTTTCTACACCTTTCTTTTGCCTCATCTTTTGGGGGAGAGCTTCCATGGGCAGCAATGGAGTGAGTTTTCCTAAGTATTTTAGTTGATTAAACCTCTCTTCTTCACATCCTGGAGGCCCACTGAGAACTAGGGTGCCCCATGCCATTTCATTTTTTAGGAAATAATTTCATTTAAAAAAAAACACATCAGAGACAAAATTGTCACTCACACTTAAGAAAGCAACACCTGGTTTGGTTTGGCCCCAAGTTCCCTTACATCAGGGATAGGCTGTATCTGTGTTTCTTCAGACGATTCTGGATTATAACTTCTATTTGTTCTCCATTAGCAGTACTGTTTATGGCTGGCAGGACTTGCATTTCAACAACCTCAGGAGGGCCGCATGTTCTCTGCTATATTGAAGAGAAGTTATCTCCACCTGGTTTAATAACTGTTTTTTATTAGAGATGGTTCATATTAGTATTAGAAATGAAGCACAGCACCACAGGTGGTGCCGATTTCCATCCCGCAGGCCCAGAACCAGCCTGCCCACTTACCCGGCTCTGTGTGGTGCAGGGGTCCACCTTCAGTGCTGGGACACCAATCTGGGAAGAAGCCTGGCTAGCCATTGCCTCCTCCCCAGGCAGCCAACCATTGCAGCGCAGAGTCTCCCCACTCAGCCAATGAGTGGTCAGCCATGTGGGGAGGCAGGGAAGGGCCAGCCATACTCCTTCCTGGATTGGTGCTCTGGTGCTAAAGGTGGACCCCTGTGCCATGTGGAGCCTGGTAAGTGGTCCAGCCAGTTATGGACATGTGGGATGGGAATCAGCACTACCTGTGGTGCCGCACTTCATTTCTAATATGAATACGAAGCACCCATCTCCAGTTTTTATAGCACAAACACTTCCTCCTTTTTTCCCCTTCATATTTATTTATGCCTTGTTTCCTTAAAATATTTATACCTATCTCTTTTTAACTTAAAGATGTTAGCTGCCACAACAACAAACAAACACCTTTGCAATGTTGGATACTTTTCCTTAATTAGGGAGATGAAAGATTTCAGTTCCTTTACTACAAAGGAGGCCATTTATATTGACCTGGTGATTTTGACAGCTGACGCAAAAGATCCTAAACATTTCATGACATGAGAGTTTACTACAGCATTCCACTATAGAATTTCTTTGTTTGTTTCAGGCAATGAGCTTCCCGAGAACAAATTCCGTGAGCGCCGGTTCTTGTTTGGAAACATTTTTGGTGGGGATAACGACCCTTCTCGTGTGACAGATAAGGTCCCAGTTTTAGATGACTCTTCTCTGATAGACTCAGAATCCTTTTGTCAAGGTGGTTGTCGTGATGGCTGGATCAGTTATAAGGGCCAATGCTACATGTATGTTCTGGATCAGATGACATGGGAAGAAGCTGAGGTAATGATAAAAATTAACTTGCTTGTTTGTTTGTTTGTTTCTCTGCCATATTTTCCTTTCTTGGACCTTGATACATTGTAAGGCTGACAGAATCCCACTGAATGTTTGCAAATATTATCATCATGAACATGATTGAGCAAAACAAGGAACCTGCTTTGTGATACAGCACCTCTGCTCTAGGGCTAAAGAGTAGGAGATGAAATGCATATGTGTGGCACATTCAGCCTCCTAAATAATCCCTGCAGGACACAATTTGTATGCCTTTGACTCATTGCTTCCATGTCCCTTTTGCCTTTCGGCAATCCTACGTTGAATAGGATGGGAGAAATTAGTAACTGAGACTTCTCTCTTAACTCTGCAATGCATGGTATATGCTATGAATACAATATTTTCTGAAGCAGTGTTTCTGGCTGGACAAACATTCGTTATATTCACATATAGTGGATATGTTGAGAACTCAGAAGGAATTCCCAGAAAGGCTGCTGATATCTAGCTCCTTGGGATTTATGAATTAGTAAAATATTTGCCTCAGGCATAAAGAAGAATTAATAAAAGCCACAATGTAAGTTACAGATTACCCATCATCAAAAGCGGAAAACTATTCCTGTTCCAGAGGTATGGTTCAGGCACACACTCGTGACTGAGGAAAATTATATGTTTAAATAAAACTTGGGTTTATTTCCTAATGATTAATCACAAACCAAACCAAGATTATTTGCAAATTGTGAGAGGTGCGGATGTAGGAAATTGTGGTAACAGTATTAACAGAGGTAAGGTAAGATTTGAGCTCTGACTCAGAAGTAGTCACAGGCTGTTCTTGGTAAAGCAAAAGCAGAATGTGTATCTATTATTCCAATATTTCCATTCATGATAAAACAGGATTACTTGACCTTTACAGAAGCCCTTAGAGATGGCTTCCATGTATGCAAATATACTGAAGTCCAACATGGAAGCATCTTCACAGTTAGCTTCTGTTACAGATGAAGGGAGAACCAAGAGCACACTTTTCCCTTGAAGAGGGAGGAAGTAATCTAAGGAAGAAGTGACCTAAGACACATGTCTTACAAGTCTACAAGTGGTCATTTACAAAAAGTCAAGAGAACTCAAGGTGCCCTATGCCACCTGTCTATCTGTCTATCATCCTTCCACATACACTGTGATGACTGTTATTATACCACTGTTACACTTATTTTAGCTATGTAAGTCAGATGCTCTTGGCACTTGAGGAATGGCCTCTTTTAATCAAAGGCTATTTGTAGTGTATATTGGCCCTAAGATACTGTTTGTCATAGCTGTCCGTGTTATATACCGTACTGCTGCTCTCTCAGTTTGGAGAGTACTGTGGTGCCAATACCACATTTGCCACCCAGAAGCATTCCCTTTGCCACTATCAGCAGCTGTGTCATTAAACCCCTCCCTGAAAAGGAGGCATCCAACCCTCATATATTGTTGGCAGCACCTCTATACTGTTCCCCACATCCTGCCAGCAGAGAAGGAAGAATCAAGTGGTGTAGAGAAGGAAGAATCAAGTGGTGTATCATGGTCACTGGTTCAAGTTTGAGCTGCCTTTTTTTTAATGCTAGGCTCTGAAGTGTCCTTTCAGAGCCAAATTAATCAGGAGGGATGTAAAGATAAATTACTTTATTGGGGGGCGGAATCCAGGCTGTAGAGACCAATCCTCTATGTTTTTTTAATATTATGCTTGCTTGGAGCATCTCTGTTTCCTCACAAATTTAGTATTCCGGTAACCCAAGGAAGCCTTACATTGGCAAACCTCACACTGCATCTTGTTCCACTTGATCTTCTCCTTCCATTGAAGTAGCAAGCTGATCCCTCTTCTTCTTTTCCTCCTTGCCCAATTTCTCCACCTCCTGCAGCCAGTGTTGACATTTTGTTAGTTCCCAATCTTGTAACAGCTCTAATCCTTGTTCCGCCTGTGTTATCTTATACAGTTTCCTATTAAATCGGACTTTCATGTAAACTGGATACACCCAGTTGTATTTTATGCTATTCTTCATTAAGACCACAGTAGCTATTTTTAGACTATGTCTCCAAACAACTGTTGGAGGTCACAAATCTTGATACACCCGAACTGAAGCATGTTTGTAAACCATCCAGCCTTTTTCTCTAGCTGATTTCATTGATAATTCCTTTTTCATAGAAATTAGGAAATCTCACAATAATATCCCTCAGGAACATCTTTCCATGTTTAGGATCTGACCTATGCAATCTCTGCAGGTCCTCATCAATCCAAATCTGTCTAGATGTTACTGATTGGAAGAAGATAAATTAATTTGTGATATATGGATTAAAGATAAGATTAAAACCAGTTTATTCCTGGATGATTCATTATTAACAATAGAAAACCTCTTAAGTCCGATGGATAGGGTAAAACTACATTTAAAAGAGTTTGGAGAGATAAGAGGTAAATTGGAATTTATGTTTTATCATAATAAGGAAGAAAAAGAACTAATTAGGTAAAATAATATTAAGATTGAGAAATTAATTCATTATTTAGGTGTTTAAGAATTTAAGCAGATAAGGAGAAGAAAATTTTAAGAAATTGAAATGTGAAGTTAAGAACAAGTTAGGTGATTACAGGAAAATTAAGTTTATCATGGTTTAGTTGAATAGCTGTGGTTAAAATGAAGGTTTTACCCAAGACTAATTTTTTTATTAGGATGCTACCAATAGAAGAAGAGATATAAGATTGACAGACTATGATTGACAAATTTTAATGGGAATTAAAAGATAAGGATTAATAAGAAGAGATGGTATAAGGCTCAGAAGGCAGGAGGGCTAGGACTTCCCTAATCGGAAGATTATGTTGATAATCAATTAAGACATTGTTCAATTTGGTACTATGGCTGATTTCCCTTTTCTCTGACATTAAGTCCATCAGACACAGACACCATTTGCAGTTGTAACAATTGAACATTTATTTTGGAAATATTGAAGAAAACAGTTGTCATCAACTTGAACATAGTCTTTCTCTCTTCCCTCCAATGGGGTGGGAAGAGGCTTCCACTCTTCTAAACCAAAAAGATTTCCAAAACTCGAGTTCCAAAAGCTCAGCTGCTCGGCAGGTGACCATTCCTTTACTGTCTTCCCCGTCTGTATAGGCAACAAGGGCATGGATGCCTCTCCCAAGAAATCCTCCCACTTGGGCTGCTCCCCACGTTGCAAGATCTCCCAGGTCCTCCTGGTTCTGACCTCTGCCTCATCTCCCACATTCACTATTCACTCCTTTCTCTCCTCTCCTCCTCTACCTTCTCTTTCTCTTCACATAATCTCTTCCTCCACTCTCTTCCCTCGGCGTCTCCCCAGTAGGATGTTTTCAGGGGGATCGCTGCCCTGATCCCAGATATAAATTAACCTGTAATATTAAAGAAAGGATAGCTCAAAAGGCATACTTTTGCAGAAATTTGGGGAGACTTTATTGATCATGTATTAAGGGAAAGGGAAGTGCACCATCACAAGAAATGTTACAATTTTGGAAGAAGGAGAATCCTTGAAGGAAAGATAATAGCTTAGATCTCTGGTGGTCTCAGGCAGGGGGACAGGGCACATTATTATAATTTTTGAAGTTTTGTATATAAAGACTGTCTCTTTTTTTCTGTCCCCCCCTCCTTTCTTTACATTTGGACTGTGTGAATTAAAATTAAAAAGAAAAAAAGCTCTGCTTTAAAGAAAGTAATAGAGTGACAGTTCTCCAGAAAGGGGGACATTTTCAGAGAATTTTGTAAGGCGTATTCAGACTATTTCCGTTAAGGTGAAATCTTAGGAATTATGCACTTTTGTAAATTAATAAATTTACAAAAGCACATAGCAGTTATGTTTTGTCCAAGCACTTTCAGTAAGCATTCTCCAAGGACTTCTGTGACCAAGTAGTCTCCTGACATAAGGGGAAATCCGCTCTAGGTTGGGGGAGATCTGAACCTTTGAACTTGCCACCCAGGACCTAATTAGCTGACTCTCAGTAGGAGAACATTTTAACTCCTTCCTGGCCTAACAGGCTGTTTGTGATTCTTTGCAAGAGGATTCCTTGTCTGGTTGTAAAAATGAAGATATAGATATTAAAAAACAAAGCAGAACAAATATTCAGAAGTTCAGTCATTTAAAATGTGAAATTACTAATTTTTGCTTTGTGGATGGGGATGGTCTTACTTGATGTTATTACGGCTTTTGTGCTGATATTCTGCACTCCAACCATTCCAGCTGTCTAGTCAGTCTCTCAGGTTAGTCATGTAATGTCATGTCTGACTAGATAAAGCACCCACTTATTTGCCTTTCTAGTGATATGTGGTATCTGGAAGACTCTCTTCAAACACCATATCAATATTTATTTATTTTTAATTTTCTGAGGTAGAAGGAAAAAGATCTAAAAGAAAAGTGCCATTTATAACTACAGCTTGGAATTGCTACTATGAGTCATTTCACATCTAAGTGCACCAAAACAATTGGCTGGCTGTACTGCACATCAAGGTTACAGAATTTATTAACTTCTGTCAGCAAAACGGTTGTATATCTTTCATAGAATAATGACGTTGGAAGGGGCTTATAAGACTGTCAATTTAACTCCCTGCTCAATGCAGGAATACAAATCAAAGGATATCTGCCAGGTGGTTGTCTAAATTTCTCTTGAATGCTTCCAGTGTTGGAGTTGTCACCACTAGAGATGGGGACAACTCACCATTTTGGTGAGTCATCCAGCATCGTGAGTCATCAAAACTTGACGACTCACAAAGCAGGAAGTTGCCCCCATGAAGCGATGAATAATGAAACTATTTGTTAATTTGTGGGGGTGTTATTTTTAAAAAACACCACCGCTGCTGCCCCCTCCACTTTTTGTAGGAGAAAATGATCAGCCAATCTTTGCTAACTCCCAGTCCTCCTTTTTTTTATTTCAAAAGGCAAGAGGAAATCTTTTGGAACACATGCGGGCAACACATTTATAAAGCAAGGGGTTTTGAAATTGAAAGATTGCTTTCTAGTCTGCATTCTGTGGAATGAGCACAGCAGCATTAGTTTACCTAAGAAATTTAAGGGTGTGCCTGTTCCTCCGTTGTATGTTTTACACTCATTCACACTTTTGCTTTACCATTTCATGAAGTCCATTAAGTCCAAAACAACCCTTTAAAATATTTTGGCGCAAAGGGACTGCAGCCACATTCCAGCTATTCTTGGTTGAGCCCTCGCCCATCAACCTCATACTATCATCTCCTGGGATCCTCTGGCACTAGCTAATCCTGTACCACTGGTTATCTCTATGTGAGATAAGTTGCAGTTGGAATTTGTGTGTACACAAATTTAAGTATACACTTAAACATCTGTTTTTAAAACCCAGGAAAAAATTTTTTCAAAAAAACCCACCCTCTGATTTATGAATTTGGGGTATTGTGCTTCTCTATCCAAGATTCAGAATGTCAAGAAATGGACTGATATTGCTGGACAATAATGTACTTATGTTTCTAACAAAATAAAATGCCAAATTTTACATAGCAAAAGGTAGCTTGAATGTTGATGGCACCAATGTCAGCAATCACAATGGTCTACAGGATATCATCTTCTGCTCAGTGCCATTCACAAAGTGACACAACACAAAGGAAAATACCAGAAGCTGACTACTTTCTTCATATCTAGAGCACTTGTTGAAAAAATAGCCCTCATAAATGCTTTGTGTTTAGATGAGAAGTTAACTGATGAAAAAATGGAGTTTGGTTCTGGGATTTTCCCTTGCTTGGTATCGGTTGCAACATTGTGCAATAAAATGGCATGTCCTTGCCATTTTAAATCATAAATAAACAAAACACTCCACAATCAAAAATAAGAGGTTTTTTTAAAAGAATTGAATTTTAAATAACCAACCCTGTTGAGTTAAATTTGAAATTAAAAATAGATGTGAAAGCAGACATGAGCAAGGAGATGGCAAAGGGGGAGGTGGAAAAGTCTGGTCAAATGACTGGCAGGAAAAAAGATGGTCCTGTACCTCATGAAATTGCAGAGTATCTGTAAAATGCAAGGTAGAAGAAACCAGACTGAGTGCCTTTTAAACCACAGTAGGGCTTGAGGTCATGTGACATGACAGGAGGCAGTGAGAATTCAATCCAGTTTTAACCTGCGGAGCAGTTAGAACCTACATAGCATCCAACGGTCTCAATTTGCATGGCTAGAAATTTGATGAGTTACACCCTTGCCGCTAACAATGCAATAATTCAATATACCAGTGGACCCTTGACTTACAGACTTTTTGAGTTACAGACTTCTCTGGCCGCAAAATTTAGGTTTGACTTGCAGACTGAGATTTGACTTACAGACCAGAAAAAAACCGAAATGGAACAAAAACGGCCTGTTACGGGATTAATCGGGTTTCAATGCACTGTAGGTCAATGGAGGCTTGACTTACAGACTTTTTGACTTGAGAACCGCCTTCCAATATGTATTAAGTTCTCAAGTCAAGACCCCACTGTAACTGTATATGACAGTCCACCTATTTCCTGATTAGTTGTTGCCCTATTCAGACATTCCCTTCATAGATACTCACCACAGTTTAAAGGGAATGCCTATCTCCTTTCCTCTCCATCAGTACTATCTATGGGTGGAAAGTGTGAAGGACAGGTCCCTGTTCACATGTTGTGTCTCTGTGTAAGCAAGAACCGTGATTTGTCCAAGGCTCTTGCTTACAGTCAAAAGCACCAGTAAGCATGGCCCTCTCTTCTGCAGATGTGTTGCTTTCTCCATATATAGGAAATGGTGATGGAAAGAGAAGTGGTAAGGTCTTGCTCTCAAAGAGTGGTATCCTTATCTGTCAAGGGAATCCCTGAACAGGAATAATGAGTCTCTTTATTTAATTTCCATTTTTCCTTTACCCAATTTTATTCAGTGCCTGTTTGTTTGACTGTATTCCTTCATACCTTCTCATTCTACATCCTTAGTGCAATTACTTGTTCTCTTGTGTTTTCTTCCTTTTTTGTTAATTTCACTCATTAAATGTTTTTATGATTTATAAAATCCTGATTTTCTGATCAATTTTTTAAAAAAATTGCTGAAAATGTAGCACGCATATCTACACTTCTTGCATAATCAATCCAGCTCTTCTCCGAGTCACCAACTCCCTTTATTTTCTAGAGGAGTTGCCAAAGCTATGCAATAGGAGGACACTTGACTAGCATCTCAAGTGCAGAACATAATGACTTTCTTGTGAACCTAGCCACACATCATGGAGAAAGGACGGCCCAATTCTGGACAGGTGGAAGCCACCGAAGGGTGAGTGCAGCCATTACAACACTGAAGACTGGGGGTGCAGCACCTGCTAGTTGTGGTCTGCCAAGAAGCACTGTGCCACTCTTTCCATCTTTCCTCCCATGACATTTTTTTCTCATAAGAAAAAAGATGGAAGAAGCAGTGAGAAAAGAAGGTAGGCTAACAAATGAAAGACAATGATGTCTGGACTCTCTTTGAAATCCTATTTTAAGCCAGAAATAGTTGTTTTTCCAATGGAAGCCAGGCTGGCCTCCTCTTTGCTGTCCTTGTACAAGCAGACAAAAACCTTTCTTTTCAAGCAGGCCCCTTCTTAGTGACTGTCTAGAGGAAGTTTTTTTAAAATATGGTTTGCATTTTGTTGCTTCTAAACCTGTTTTAATAACATTTCCATATCATGTTATTATTTCATTTAATATTCAAATAATTCACTATTTTAAGCTTTAATATTGTATTTCAATGATGTAAGCCACCTTGGGTCCTCTCTTGGGAAAAAGTGAAGTATAAACAAATAAAAAAGCATGCACGCACGCACGCAAACAAATGTGTGAGTGGATTATGTTGTCTCTTGTCATAGCTTAGTTTCTCAACTTAAAAGGAAGCATGCTGGGTGGGTAGGTGGGGAATCATGGTTGCTTTCTTTGATATTTAAAGCAGAAGTCAGTCTAACACACTCAGTAGCAGAACAAAGCTTCACACTACACCTAATTAAAAGTCTCAGGTAGCATTCTTGTAATAAACACCGCCTGCAGAACACTGCTGAGTAACCGATTCCAGAAAATCTCCATCTGTCTGCTGACAATTTCTTCCCTCTAATAAATGATGCACCAAACATTATTCATACCACTCTAAAGTAGAAACCTCATTGCAGGCCACAGACCTCTGTGCAGATTGCAGTGAAAATTCCCCTTACTCATTTTATTTTAGTCCTTTGGAATATGAAAATACCCCCCACATTTTACCTGGTGGTCTCCATTAAATTCCTGTTTTGTTTTTATGCAGGGGTCATCTCTAAGATGGACGGATGGCTCTGTGGCAAATTTCATTCAGCGTCCACTGAGCTCACTTCTTCACGTTGTTGGAGAAACTATTAACAGTATTCTGAACATTCGCATTTGCTTGAAGTTAAATCTAAGCCTAGGAGGTATGATACTCTCGACAAATGTAATCTCTGTTCCTGCACAGTGCTTCCTTAATTTATTCCAAACCTCAAAAGCTGTTTCCCACACTTTTCAAAGTACTAACTAGTAGGTGGTACCCGATGTCCTGGGCACCTTCCAAACCACTGAGGCTTGAGTCCTGTCAGAAATGTTTAAGCCTAAAGGGTGTGCAGGGGGAGTTCTCCACATCTGCCCCAAGAATCTCTGGCTCGCACTTATGCAGACGTAAAGACTGAAGCTGTATGCATTCCAAATGTACATAACCTGAATGGAAACTACATCCTTGGGATATTTTTCATATCCGTGAGTGAAAAGGTACAACCTTGCCTTAAGAATTGCTCATGTGAAAGCAAATCTTTCTTTTTGAAGTTGAGGAGGTTCTAAAGCACTGACTGGCTGACTCGTTTTGGATAACCATGAGATCAGCTTTCCTCTCCATTTTTCCAGGACATATTTTTTTTAAAACTGAGTTTTCCCCCTATGTCATAGGAAACAAAGATTTAGTTTACTTTCAGAAACTTCCAAGATTCTTTCTCTTATTTAAAAAGACGGCAGCATTTTATGGGACAGATAGCGTAGACCAGTGGTTCTTAACCTTGGGTTACTCAGGAGTTTTGGACTGCAACTCCCAGAAGCCTTCACCACCAACTGTGCTGGCTGGGGTTTCTGGGAGTTGCAGTTCAAAAACATCCGAGTAACAAAGGTTAAGAACCACTGGCGTAGACAAAGGGGAAGCAGAAGCTAGCAAGTACACATGCCAGTCAAGGAACAAAGATTGATGGAGAAGGTAAGCCAACGGGGTAGATGGGGGGGAACCCTCCACCTCCCTATGTCTAGGTATGTTTATGAATGCTCCCTCATCTATTGTAAAATAAGTTTTTCTGTGACAGAAAAACATTTTTTAAAAAACTACTTTGTAAGGTGCTGCAAGGCTCTTTGATGCAAGGAAAATATTTTTCTACACAGTTCTTGGGGTTTATTTTGTACTCACATTTGCTTCTTTTCTTTCTAGGCCAGGGTAACTGGGATGGCTCTGACTGTAGAAAGAAGCTACCCTTTGTCTGCAGCTACAAGCCTGATCTGACACCCCCCTAACCTACTGGAGGAAGATAATCAGTTACACTTAATCAGTCATGTAGTTAATTTACAAATTATTCATTTATTTTCTATGCACATGTATACATTCTTATTTTCAAAATGCCAAAGTGTCATTCATTAATGGAAGAAAAGAATTGACACAAGCCATTATTTAGAGCACCACAGAACTTGTACTACTTAAATAAAGCCTTATTTGTCTCAAGTGCTTAACGAGATCTCTACGCTACTTACACCTTACAGGGATTTAACGAATAATGGTGAGAAACCTTTAATTCAAAAATAATTACAAGTCACTCATTAAACATTACTTATTTCCCCATTTAGTGACATTTTAAATGCTAAAAACCCTCCTTACAATGTCAGGTAAATTTATGAAGAATTAATTGAATGTTGCTGTTTGAAGAATGGGGGGTGTAAAAGAAAAGGGGGAAAATCCATTGCTTCTCCATAATTTCAAAGAACAGTTAGGTAAAGGTAAAGGTTCCCCTTGACATTTTAGTCAGTCGTGTTCAACTCTAGGGGGTGGTGCTCATCCCCATTTCCAAGTCATAGAGCCAGCGTTTGTCCGAAGACAGTTTCCGTTGTCACGTGGCCAGCGCAGCTATACACGGAATGCTGTTTACCTTCCCACCGAGGTGGTACCTATTTATCTACTTGCATTTACATGCTTTCGAACTGCTAGGTTGGCGAGAAGCTGGGACAAAGTGACGGGGATCACTCTGTTGTGTGGATTCGATCTTACGACTGCTGGTCTTCTGACCCTGCAGCACACAAAGGCTTCTGCGGTTTAGCCTGCAGTGCCACCACATCCCCAAAGAACAGTTACATAACTATAAAAGTAAATACAACCAAGAAAAAAATCACAAAAATACAAAAAATAAATATATATCAAAAGCATTGCCCACTGCAAACTTAATATCATGCTTATGTTTTTTAAATTGCTATGTATTATACGTCAATGTGTCTGGTATAAACCAACACCATATTATAACGTCTGTATCACAGGGTCATTTGTTCAATGTAACAGAGCTGTGTCTAACTGTGTGAGGCACACTTTGCCAGGAAATTTATTTATTTATTTTTATTTATTTATTTTATTCATATTCCGCCTATCTGGTCAGTTAAGACGACTCTAGGCGGCTAAATTGTCCTTAACATCATCCAATGGAAAGTACACCCATCTCTTTATGTAGCATTCTGTTGTTTTCATATATCTTGTGGAGAAAATTCCATTGGATTGCATTTGTAATCAATAATTAGTAAATAATCAAAGCTGAGACTTGCAAAAATTAGTAAGGCTCAAAAACGCTTCATATCATTGACAGAACTTTGGTAACCCTCAGTAGCAGTGGCCTACCCTTGAATTTATAGACCATTCTCAGGCATTACTGTTGTATTCTTGACTCTAGGTTCATGCTCATCATGAGATCACTAAGGAGCAACTTGTGAATAGAAACATTCATACTTCATTTGATGGTTCTCAATAGCATACATCTATGTTTATAGATCACACAACCTTTATTGTAGTCTTTGTTGTAATCTTCTATTTGAATATGTATCCAGTCATGACACTTATCCCAAGAAGTCCTTCTCTCACATTTATAATTCAGCCTTTAAAAATAAGTACATCCTTGTGATAGCACTAATATATACACTATAAATAAATTTCAGTCACAACATTTTGCTATAGCCTCCTCCAAACAATCTTGAAAACCCAATTCAATTCTCAATGAAGGAGTCTCAAATTCTTTGTAAGGCAGCCCTTCAGGTCCTTGCATCTTCTTACTGAACTGCAGTACTCATGGTTCTTTGGGAACAGGCATATCACAACTGAACAAGTTTAAACCTGTTTACGTTAAGTATTAATTTTATTGTACAGTCACTTCTAGCCTGATACAACACTCCCATACCTTTTACCTCATTATGGCACATGGGAATTTTACTGTAGTGGCTTCTGTACTAGCAGCTTAGTATGAATGTAACATTTTGCTCATCCATGTGTGTGTTTTTAAGATAATGTGGCTAGGTCAGAACTTGCAACCTTGTGGAGGTTGTTGACATCGTAATTCTCAGTTTTTAAGCAAAAGCATTCTGTAGTTTCAGTTTACCTAACCTCTGCTGTGGAAGGTTCCAAAGACAGAGTTAGCATGCAGAGTACAACCCTCTTTCATCCACTGGTTGATTTCAGGTAACAGGCTTCTGAATAGGTACTTCGAGGGTAGACAATACTGAGCTAAAGAAATGAATGGTCTGATTCAACACAATGGAACTCTATATGTACTGCTTATTATTATTATGGGACAGCTCTTTAGCTCTTAGCCCAATCATGAACTAATTATAAGTGCCAGCTTTTCTCATTGACTTCTGTGGAGTACAGTTCTCTGTATAAATACAATGGCTTTCTCTTTTTATTCATCTCTCTTCTTGAGACACCACATGCCTCCTTTGATCCGCTGTAAGTTGCCTTTCAAATTTGCTGGCATCCAGGCAAGCTTAATTGATTACCCCAGCTAAACATTCCATGGTGAAAGTCTTCATGTCTGTTTCCAGACAATACAACCCATTGCTTTTCATGCGTGGTAAATATGGGCCCTTTGGTTGAATGCCTTGTTCTTTGTATTTTTCATGACCAAAAATTATGTATTATCCTATCATTAATTCATTTTTATTTTTGCCAGAGGTACAGGAAGAACAGAAAACAGGTGCCTGCTCCAGACCATTTCCAGATACCCTAGCTTGAAATCTGTGCAAGGGAACAGGGTACTTTTTACTTCTATATCCTTTCCAAAGCATATGAGAGAGTAGATAGCTGTAAAAATAATATTTGTGGTCATATTTGGACCAAAGTAATAATAGATTCTGTGTACAGTAATATATTAACATTTTACAGTACTCTAGTCAAGATCCAACCGAAGTCACTTCATTCAGTGACTTCTGCATTCAGTGAGAAAGTCAGACGTGTGCTTATGTGTCTCCCTTTGAAATTAAATAAATGTATATGTCCACAGCTTTGGTGGGCTTGGATGTCCTCAGGAAGACCCCAGTTCTGTACACTTTATTTCTCATTTACCGTATTTTTCGCTCTATAAGACGCACCTTTCCATAAGACGCACCGATTTTTTAGGAGAAGAAAACAGGAAAATATAATCTGTTTTCTTCGCTCCATAAGATGCACAGACTTTCCACCCCCCTGTTTTGTGGGGAAAAAGTGAGTCTTATGGTGCAAAAAATACAGTAAATGAAATGAAGCAGGTTTCTCCTTGAATAGAAGGTGAAACTTACACATGAGCAGTATTTCAATTCAGAAGTTGAATTTGCTCTGACATGATTACAGATAGATACAGTAACATAAACATTTTTCATAAATCGCTTTCTTAAAAGATACTGGGAAAGGAAGGGGAAGGGAGAATGATTCACAATCTGAAGGGAAGAATCTACATAACTATGGCAAAATATTGAACTAGGCTTTCATTGTGCTCTCTTATTAAAGATTACAGATAAGAAAGACAAGTACAGGCCTGCCCAATCACAAGGGAAACCGTACCCCATTCACACACCCCAATAACAGGTCACCCAACCAGCAATATATTATATATCTAGGAGCTAGATCAGAGATGCAGAACATGAGACCCTGTGAAAGTTGGAGTACAACTCACATTATCCCCCACCATCAGTTAGAATTGCTATCATTGACAGGAACTGGGGTCCAGTGACAACTTCCCTACCGCTGAGCTAGGCAGTGCCCCACTAGGATGTCTTCTGACTGTCTTGCCATCTAAGTGCTCGTGAACAATTTTCATAAGCAAAAAATAATTTTGATGAAAAGAAGATTCCTTTGAACTACTACCTCATGGGATTTAGAGAGTATGCTCTGAGTTTGCTTCCTGTGAGCTGGAAGTACAAGCAGTATACTCCAGTCACAGGTTTATCATCTTAATGAGAATTATGTATGAATCTTCATTTACTGAGGAACATCCCAACTTCTCAGCCTCTCCGTGCACTTCGAACTTATAAAGCCAGATGCAGTCATTTATCCCCTCAATAAGAAGAGAGCCATGGTTGCTTGAGGGCCCTGTTCTGATGTGGCTTTTGAAAATGTTTTTATGTATGCTCTGCATCCAGAGTAATAATGACACAAAATGCTTTTTTCTGCGCGCACACTGCTATTGTTGAATTGTGAAGAAAGTGAACTCAAAATTGTTTCCAGCATATTTAGTCTACCAAAAAAATAAAGGTCAAGTAGAGGTTGATGTGGGGAATCATAGTCTACTCTTAAGAATCATACTGTAAGCAATGTGTGATGTAGACATTTTAGTACAAAAGTATTGGTCAACTACAGAGATTAAAGGGCAATATTACAATTTGAGAACATATCCCTGAACTGCCAGATGCAGTACTTAAAGAATTAAAATAACATTGGAACATAGGAATCACTGACTGCACATTTTAATTCCACCACAGCAAAAGGAGGAACAGATTATATAAAACAAAACCTGAGAAGATCCCCCAAATTAACATACCACCAGAGCAGCTAATACAAAAAAAGCTGTTGTTACTAAGGCAACAGTGTTTGGATAGTCAAGGAAGAATTAGAAGCTACCCTTTAGAAAGTCTGCAGAGTGCATAAACAGAGCATGATTCAACAGCCAGAGCACAGCTTTCTTTTTCACTCTCTTTGCCTTCAGTATTGTCGATATTAAAATATCTCAAGCTTTAAAATGATTATGTGGCTTGACGTTTCAATTCTTGGGAAAACATAAAAGTCAAGTTGCTGAGGGTCAGCAGTTCTTTAGTGCAGTCCTCTGCGTGCCCTCTTTACTTCACTTTGAACTGTGCACAATCTCATAGCTTTGGCTTTCTTCCTCTCTTCATTCTGTTGAAGTAAACAACTAAGTTATTGCTTAATATTCACAAATGAGAGGAGACCCTCTACAATTTGGTCATTAATTCATATCCTTTCAACTTGGCCTAATGGAAGAGAGGAACATTTTCACAACCAACTTGGTAAGTAAGAGCTCCTTGTAATATGAAAGCATAGAGAGTTCCATTAATGTATATATAATACAATATGCATTATAAGCCCAGTGACATCTGAAGACTTTGGGCAGCCAATAGAGATATGAATTAATCTAGTTAAAGCTTTTGTTCTTGTTAAGA